AGGCAAACATCGTTCACGGCGATTAGAATGGCCGTCGTATCGAGGCAAGAAGTCGTATCAAAGAGGCGTGTGCGTTGACTACCGGCCGACGACGTGCTTCCGCCCATCGTGGCGAACGTTTACTATCCCCTGCTCGGTTAAGTTTACTCAGGTCCCTCCACCCAAACTTCGCCCTCCCTCCACCTCCCCCCTCTGCCACGTTCGCGCGAATTAAAAGCCCATGAATATGGTAAGAATGCAAATCCCTCGCCAGGGTTTTGTTTGCGCAGGATCTGTGTTCACGCGGCAATCTGCATAGGCAGAACGCGTGGAAAACACGACAAGAAACACGGGGAGTATCCGCGTGTGTCGGGCTCGCCTTGTCGTTCTGTATCCTTTCTCGGTTCGGTTACGTCCCGCTACGCGAGAACGCGGAAAGGGGAGGATGGTGGGAGGTTAATTACAAACCGGAACTCCGAACATTCCAGCGTGACGACGCTTCAGACCCTTGTTACCGTGAAACGGGTTAACGAGTGGCTAAAGTTTATCAGGCGGTCCCCTCGCGAGATCGTTGCAAATAGGAGGAGGGGGAGAATTGACCGCTCGTTGGTAGCGAATCGAACGCGGAACGCGGAATTGCAGGAATTTTTCAAAGCTGGAGCTGACGCGAGGATTAAAGCATAGAATTTCCGTTAGAGACATTTACGTCGAATAAGGTAGAAAGACATTATAATAGAATATGGAATAGAGCTTCGATTTATACATTTTTTTTCTTTCATAAAATCATTTAAATCTCTAAAAGTACGCTGTTTTATAAAATTTCTAACAAAAATTAAAAATCAGTCACTCTGACCACTTTTGGTAGAAACAAATTGTTGAGAAATATTTACAATACCATGATTATATTCGTAAACGTGACGAAGAGGGAAAATTGACAATGTCGATAATCTACGTACTGTCAAAACTGACGAAGAGAATAAAATTTGGGGAGTGATAAGGAGGTTCAGATCGTAGAATGAAACTGAATCTCCTTTCTAGCCATTATTAAGAATATTTAAATTCGATGTTCTTAATGTAATTTAATTTCTCTGGCAAGTTTTAGTAGAAAATAAAATGAAAAAAAAATAATGTTTCCTCGGGGACAAAATAATATCACAAATGTTACATTATAAATATAATATTATTACAAAATAATATCACAAATGTATTACAAACGTTGCAATCTACAGAGCGCGGATTTTTCTGCATCTGAAGGGAATTCGAAGCATATAAAAACACACAAAATAGAGTATGTGTATATATTCATACCGAATAAAGCAAATTTCTGCTTAAATTCTATCTTTCTCAATATTATAATCAGCAATGTTAAATATGCGTAATCAGTCCAACTTCAATTAACTGCAATATTTTCACATCCGACGTGGCAAGTGTCGCTTTCACGTTTCACTTTCGGCCTGCGGGGCGCGCGATTCAAATTTTTCCCGCGGCGGAAACCGAACCGGACACAAGAAACGACGTCCCCTCGCATTTCCAAAACGTTCGATTAATCCGCGGGCTATCCCGTCCAACCTGTGCGCACCGTTCAATTATCGAGGGGCTCTTCCGCCTCTCTTACTCAGCGTTAACTGAGTTGTTGCCTCGATAATTCGTACATCGGCGTATCGGCCGTATCGGCCGGGGGTTCGCCGCATTAATTTGCGGCTTGGCGCGGGGAATTTCTGTTAACTCTATAATCCGAAACTTACAGCCGCTCTCTCTCTCTTTCGTCGAGTGCCTCGTCGACGATTCAATTTCAACCTCGCCGATGGGAAACGAAATTGAAAGAGCGCGTCGCCGCGCAATGCGGCTGCTACGATTTCACGACACATCCACGAAACGATTTCAGGTATATTTGATCGACCTGATCGAACGAGTTTGTACATTTGGTAAGATGTACATTCGGAATTTGCGAACTCGAATTTTAATTCGACTGAAGTCACGTGTTATAGTACTCAAGTTTCAAATCGAAACTGCTACGTTACGCTACGTTATAATTTCATTTGGTATATGATGATAAAATACATTCACGCTTGAGTTCTAATTCGATTCAAGTTATGTGTGTTACAATTCGAATTTTAATTCGATTGAAATTATGTGTCGAAATTGCGTTATGTTGCGTTATAATTTCATTTGGTATGTGATAGAATATATTCGACTGAAATTATGTGTTATAATTCGAATTTTAATTCGTTTGAAATTATGTGTCAAAATTGCGTTACATTGTGTTACAATTTGTACATTTGGTATGCAATAAAATACGTTTGAATTTTAATTCGATTCAAGTTATGTGTTATAATTCGAATTTTAATTCGATTGAAATTATGTGTCGAAATTGCGTTATGTTGCGCTATAATTTCATTTGGTATGTGATAAAATATATTCGACTGAAATTATGTTATAATTCGAATTTTAATTCGTTTGAAATTATGTGTCAAAATTGCGTTACATTGTGTTACAATTTGTACATTTGGTATGCAATAAAATACGTTTGAATTTTAATTCGATTCAAGTTACGTGTTATAATTCGAATTTTAATTCGATTGAAATTACATGTCAAAATTACGTTATATTGTGTTATAATTCTTAATAATTTTCAAGTTCAAATTCTTGCAGATTTTTAGTTTTGAATTGAAGATTTTACTAAACAATTCGACAATGAATGTGTATAAATAATGAATTCGTAAATTCATCGATTTCGATAAAGCTAAACTTTCTGAAGAAGCTTTAGGATCTTAAGGAATTGTCAACCTCATAAAATTCGATGAATTTGTAAATTCTCATCGAAATAAATCTTCATTTTGAATGGTTGAAAATGAAGTTGGAAACTTTAGAAGTCAAGAACGGTATTTTCAAGATTATCCCGCAAGAAATGGAGTCGTGGACATGATTTATACGGTTTCATCTAAATGGGTTTCAGAAATAGATTTCGCCCAAATCCGGATTCCATTTCGAAGTCATATTGACGTCTGAATTATCGTGTTACATTTTAGACGTCCTCCTGCGTGTCCTCTACTTCAGAAATTCGAGCATTCCATATAATTTTCAGTTACATCAATGTGTAAAGTTCGATAAAAATATAACATTCAAATCCATACATATGTATATCGAGTGTGCAAATACTTTTGTCTACCTCTGTGTATATTTAACCCCGTGCCCTGGCAACTGGTTCACGGACCATAACGAGTGACCAATACTATACACAATAATTCGTCGCTTTCTTTTCCTTTTGAACTCGTCGGTACGATATCACTGGATAGAAATTATTAAGAAGTAATAAACTTATCATTCGTTCTGCCTGGGTCACATTTAAATATACTTAAAACTGAGAAAATGTTGCAGTTTGGGACAAAAAATTCTCGACATGCGTGGCACGTCATTCCAGCGCAAGAGGTTAATATCCTCGATTCGATCCACACAGTCTGTCCTTTTACATTCATTATACCAAACTAACAATTTATAATAAATATTAATTAGAAACCTTTGATTTACAAAATTCGAGATTCATAACGTTCTTTCGCTGTAAATCTTTTGGCCCCCGAACCACGTCGTAACGTTTCCTCGAATCTGCATTATTACGCGATCAAGAACTTGGCGAGAAAGAATCTCCCACATTTTGGGAAAGGAGGAAGCGTGGCGAGAAACTTGGCAGAAAGTTGGCTGGAACGCACAGAGCCAAATCGATAAGCGGACAGCCGGAAACACGCGTTGGTTATCATCCAGACACCAGGCGAAAATTCCTGATTTATGAGCGAAGCTCGTTTAACACTTTATTTGTTTTAATCCTGCACGTTCCGCCGATCGATCGATCACCCCTTCCCGTTTAATCCAACGACTCATTAAACCACGCCAAGAATTTATGTGTCGTTGATCTTCTCCGTATTTTAGGATATCCATTCGTCGTGGTTTTATCGTTCGTTTATTACCCCGGGACTCTGGCGCTGAATCTGTTAATATCGAGGCAAATATTGGTTTGCAAATATGGGAAGCGGAGTGATGTTTAAGGGTCACGAGTTTGGCGCATTTTTTTTTTTTTTTCGAGGGGAACGTACAGACTGATTGAAAATCTAAAGAGCTCTGTTTGCACAGTTTACGGTCGATTAAGAGTTTACGGTCAAATTTGCAACGTGGTAGGTTGGAGAAGGTATCGTGATTTTTCTGTGATTTTGCCTGTCAGCTAGAAACTTTTATCAGTGATCAAAGTTTAGGCAGATACTATTCTTGCAGTATCACGATCAATTCGTAATTTTGTAATTTCGTTAATTTTTTTTTTGTAAAGTAGCTTCAAAGCTATGAACAAATATGGTGAACATATAAATATAAACACTCCTTGTTTCCTTTTTAATCGTATGACAAACTCTTCTGTCGCTTGCATTTTCTACTGACTGAATTTCTAATACTCTGAGTGGTTTCTGTCTATAGAGGATCGAAGCCCGCTCCTATCAAGACTTTACATCTAATCACTCGATCCAACCTACTTTTACATCCCGGAAACCTCGATTACAAGTGTCCACCTTAGGTTCTTGTATTTTAGAACATGCAGGCACACGTGATGTTATCTGAGCCACGTAAATCCTCTTAAGAACTTCTAGCATTAACTCTCTTCAACCTCATAATACGTCCTTGTGCAACGTACACAGTACACTGCGCGTGTGTTTCGAACGATTAAAAGTACTGGGAATCTTAAGTTTAATCTAAAATTTAAACGGTGTTGATAAAAATGCATTAAATAAAAATTTAATACATTTAAAATTTAATACGTTTGAAATTGAATTAAAATTTAAATGTGCTGGATTAAAATTTAAATTAACATTTAATATATTTTCTATAATTATTTTCACATTATGTTAGTCACAAAGAATTATTTCCCCTTTTAATTCGCGTTCGTAGCTTGAAAGAAGAAGAGAGGAATCCGAAGCATTCGCGGCGAAATTCGAGATAATCTTCTGTCAGGTCGCAGAGCAAGAAAGTTATGCACCACTTACCCGTATAAGGTCGACAATAGTTGCGATTTACTTTGCTGTAGATCGTCGGCAGGGATGTCTCAGCTCCTGGCTCCACGTACGCCTTGTTCTTGCTATCCCTCGGGTCGCTGTATTGTTCCACAACCTCGACTTCCGGCTGAAAACAGAGCAGAAAATCGTTTCCTTCCGTGACAGTCTGTATACGGTGTTTCACGATTTTAAAACGATTTTAAAACGAGGGACGACTATTATTTGAATCTGAAAACGTGTATTTATATATAATATTATACAAAATAAAATAAAGCAAAACCTACATCAAATCAAATAAAAAAGACAAAAATTAAAAAATAAAATAAAATAAAATTTATATAATGTAAAACGTATATAAAAATTACAAAATGTTTACTGCAACTGTATATTTGATAGAATACAGTCGACTTTACAGAAAATTTACGTCGAGATTTAATTTATTTAAATTAAAGCTCAGTTCACATCTTCGTAGATTCCCATTCGCATTTCTACAACAAGAAACAATATTCTCCAATTTAATTTACTTACAATATTAAGAACAATTGCCCAAGAAATTAATTTTAATTAAAACCTCCGTAAGAGGATTTACATTAATTTGTGCAACATTGAAGCTCAATTCACATCTTCACAGATTTTCGTTCTCATTTTTGGAATAAAAAACAGAGATCCTTCTATTTAATTTACAATCACAACAGCAGTTGCCCACCAGACATGACCAAAGAACTAATTTTAATCTCCATAAGAAGATTTACACCGACTTGTACAATATTAACCCCTCGTTTTACGATTTTCTTCTCAGTCTTCAGTAAACATTAATTATTATATAGTTATTTAGCACATCAGTTATTATAATATCTATTATTTATAATTATTATATTATACAATTATTTAGCATATCAGTTATTATAATTTAGTCATTTATAATTATTATACTATACATTATTATAGTTATTATATTTAGCATATTAGTTATTATACTGATATTACATCGTGTCAGAGGTAAAGCATTATGCCCAATTTGTATTTATTAATCTTCAGTTTAATCAAAATTGAAATTAATTATTAAAAAATTATAAAGCTGAAATTAATTATTAAAAATTAAAATTGAAATTCGGTTTGAAATCTAGCTTGAAAATTCAAATTCATACTTCGTGTTTGGTCCCTAATCGAAATCAAAATTCCTCGAAACCATAAATGTAATGTCGATAATGTTGCCAAAAAAAGGTTGAAGATCAATTCTCATCTTCGTACACATCGATCGCTCCTATTTCTACAGTTTCACTTTCACTTCTACACCGAACAAACAACACCGTCCCACCTAATTTACAGTCGCGAAAGCAGTCGCACACCGGATACGTCTACTAATCCTCCCGCAATTTAGCAGATGTGACGGAATTATTTCACCGGTGTAATTATAACGGGATCGTGACTGCTCTTTGTGCAGAAGAGTCTCCGGCAACGTATTCCGGCAACGTTCAAGACATTCTATTAATTCACCGGAACCGTTAAGTAAGGTACCGTTTATTAAGCAAGCGAGAGATTAGACGCAATTTCAGACGATACTCTGTGGCGTTACAATGTAAATACGAAACAAAACGACGGCGCTCGCCGCTCGCTCTCGAAATAACGATCGTTTAAACGGAAGCGGAGAGCTAAAAATGTTTATCCAGCCATGGTTGGCCAAGGCATTACCGCAATTGGCTACGTTCAGGTTCCCGGGGAAAATTGCGTTGAGCTAACGTGTCGCGTGCTTAGTCGAAGAAACTCTCGCAATAACCCCTTGCTGATGGGCTATCGCCTCCCTGTTCGAGGAAGGGTCGAGGCTGGACGTTGTTAGCCAGCCAAAGCCTGGCCAGTTCGCTGCCAAATTGGTATTGTTACCGACCCAATAATTTCTATCGGGCCAACTCTCGCGTTCTTTGTTTTCTCACTGGCAAGAATCTCATTTCCTCGATGAGCCTCCTCCTCCTCCACCTTTGAATCACGGCTCGGTTGTTTACGAAAACAAACGAATTCTTCGTTCGTCCAAAACGTGGGAAATATAAGATTTCTCTCCTGTGTGTCATTCTCACTTTATTTGATTTTGGAACGGTGAAAGTGTTTGTTGCTCTGAAGTTTGCATTTAGTATACGGAGTATATCTCTCGAGCGAAAAATAGGAAAATTTTTGTTCGTCAGAGTCTGGTGGATGAGAGAGAGAGGGAAAGAGAGAAGCACTAAATTGCATTGCTAACTATAAATAAATAAATGTATAAATAAACGTAGTATTCTCTCTAATATCATTTTATTACTCGATAGAACTCGAACGTTTGCGAAAAACAACAGACACTGTTTGAATAATTTCAGTCCAAGACGCGAATACAGCAAATTTAAGACGCGAATAGCAAACCAATAATAGAATCAAGCGTTTAATGTTCTACGAAATTTTTAATATCCAAGAGCCGATATATCGGTTCCGCGACTTTTGTGTCACTTCAACACTTATATTTGAATATTTCTTGCCAATGTCTTGTTTTTACAAAATGTTTCTATCATAGGCTTCCTTCTTACCGAGATTCCTACAGGTTTTTACAGGTCTGGCCAAAAAGTAACAGCATCTATTTTTGTGTGGGAATGAAAGGCGAATTATTTCATGAGAAACAGAAGTTTTATTAGACGACGTAATTTCTTACGAGCTTGCATAGCGCTTTTTCCCTTTTCAGAAGAATATAATAAAGATGATTTCCCTTTGATTTTCCATTTCGAAATCGCTAAATATCTTGTTACACATAAATTAAAATAAATAATTATTGTTATAGTTATTATTATAATTTGTTAACTCTCGCAATATATTCATTCATCAAACCTCCATAAAAGTACATCCATTTCCTGGAAGAAAACGCAATTACTTTCTGGCCAATCCAATGATTCTAGACGACACTTAAAAAAAAAAAAAGAAAAAAGAGAGAGAAACAAAATTGTCGGATACCAGGAGGGTTCGTAATAGAAACGAACCCTTATCTGTATGATCCCGAGAAAATTCGCGCATGATATAATTATCGACATTTAACGACGCCAAATTAACCTCGACGAACTTTCAAATTAGCCTCGCGAAACCATATCGGATCCCCTTGTACCGTTTCCACGAACGCTCCCGACTCCCGCCGCCTACGAATCCACTTTCATTCACCTTGACCCCCTTGCCGGTCTCCGTCCGCCGATTTCGAGCGCAACGTCCGCGTTATTAAACGCGGGTGGAGAGAGGCAGGTGCACAATGGGCCGGGTACTTCGATCGACCCTTCTCGAGGAAAGAAAACCTTCGCATTCATCGCGTCCCGCCAACTTTCGATTTTAATGATAATAACGATAATAAAAGCAATAACGATGGCCTCGGGTTCCCGGGGCGCAACAGGAAGAGAAACGAAACGAGAAGGAGGAGGAGGAGGAGGGACGAAGAGGGATCGAAGTCGACTTCTTCTCCGAAGAAGGCGACTGATCAATGGCGACGGAAACTTCTCCCTTCCCTCTGCGTTATTCTTCCGTCACGAGGGGAGGGGAAGAAGGTTGTATCGCGACGAGAAAGGGGGTGAGGGGGGAGGGGGGAGGGGGGCCGAGGAAAAGAAGAGAAACGAGGGCAGACCGTCGTCTGTCACGGTGCAAGGCGAACGAAGAAGAAGACGACGGGCAAGACAAGTAGCCTTAAATTGAAAGAGGCCGAAATTGGAATTCTCCTGCCAAAGTTCTCGTGCGTCGTGCCCGCGGGGGCTGTTTCGAAGCCCGATTGCCCTACCTCCCCCTCCCTCCCCCCCTCCTCCCACCGCGTTCCTCACGCCGGTGGATCGTTTCGATGGCTGATTCTCCTTCGAACAGGCAGAAATTCGTGGATGTTTATACGGAAATTACGAGGGCGAAAGATCCTAAGCGGGAACCCGAGCTGATCGACTGTCGCAAATTCGATCACCTTGTTTGAACGAATCGGCGTCGGGCTTAAGACGCGTCAGTGCGGTGCCTAATTGCGATTTCTTGGCCGCACTGTGGCGTTTCAGAGATTCAGTCGATGTGTGATAAATACACGGAATCGTCGTACAATCGATCAACGTGTGACTCTATCGTGTGAAAACAAGTCGAAGGGAAAAGAATAAAATTCTTTCCATTTCTGAAAAAATCGAGTCTGAAAGTTTATTAAGTAATGCTTCAATTTAATTGATTCTAAATGTAACGGGAAAGAATAATTGACAGATGGTTATTCTACGAGCAGAAATAAGTGAAAAGTGTAGAACAGATTTCTTTCATTTGCAGCATCATTTTTGTAGAAAATGAACTGAATGTGTTTTGTGTAAAAACTGCCTTGGCGCACACATACTTGATAAATTTTCAAACCCGATGTCCTCGAAAACGAAGCATCTTGCGACAAACTTTTTTTATTCTACGTTTCTTATTTATTTTTATTTTGGAACTTTTGTCTAGGATTAGCTAAACTGAACTATACATAATAAATCTTCTCAAAAATAGCTTAGAAAAAGATAATATAATACGACAAAATTTTATTCTTTTCTTTATTTTTACGTGTAGACTCATTTAATTTAAATACAGATATTGTTGATGCAAGGTGTGTTAAAAGAACGACATGATTAAAAAATTCACAAGTTCGAGAATCAGTGAAAATGACGAATTTTCTGTAAATTTTAACTACATGAAAAGAGATATTTATCTCCTTCATTATACATTGAATTCAGTCTTTAAATTGTATCTATTTATTAAAAACGTAATATGTCCGTTTGGTTGAAGATTGATGCTCATAATTGTAAATTTTTCGTAAAAATTTGACTTCCTTAGTCACGTCACTCTTGCTACAAACTCTCGGTATGCAAAATCCATCGAGGATTGATCGTATTGGTGTGTTAGAATACAAGAAGATAGGAAGAAATTTTGACGATGTGGGACAGTTTGAAATGTGTTTGAGTAATATGATCGATGAGACGAGGGTTGGTTGATGTGTAGCCATGTATGATGTTTCATGGTTGAATGAGAATTAGGACAGAATCGATATCTAATGCATTTATTACATGACAGGTTTCGTAAGATGTAAGTTTGGAGACAAAATGACGACGATCGATCTGCACGTGTATGTCCAGAAATTTCTTGTCA